GCTGTGGCTCACATACATTTTCAGGTTCATGCATTTGACATAAAAGCACGTTTAATACAGCCAGCAAGGAAACCAAAGGTAGAGACAGGTTTTGTAATTATGAAGTAGCTTTTCTCTCTATGGTGCTTGAGATAGAAGATGATAGGATTGTGCAGTCATAAAAAAGGAATAGCTTTTCAAAATCAGCTGTGTGGTGACTAGAAAATAATCATTTTTTTACAATAAATAAATCAAAAATCATGTTTACAGCTCCTGGAGTTTAGAAATAACAGCTGACAAAGGAAATAAAATCTTGATAGTAACATATAACGGTGAAAGAAACCACTTTTCAGTTGACCTACTCTAAAAGTCATTAAGTAGCAATGTGCTGACAGCACTGGAAAAATAACCTTGCAGAGACTTTTATTGGCTTTCCTACTGAGCATCACGTAATGTCAGAGCTGGTGTAGGAATTTAAGGCAGCAATCATACAGCATGTCCTTAATTATTTCATATCGCCATTAGATGGGCAGTTTTTGTTGATCAGTTCATAGAATGCCAAACTCAGTGTTCAGCTCAAAATCTCTGTGCCAGTTGCTTTCCTAATGAGAATTGATCCTACTGGTGGTTTAAGATCAAGCCCATGGCCATCCTCCCGAGGTAACAAGATTTTTGATATTAATAGCAGGCACTACAAACTAAAGGCTTTCCTGCCATATGCATTTACTGAAATTGCCTATTCTTAAACATGCTATAAAACGAGGTGGGTGCTGTAAGCACAATGTGGCTGGAAGCAGGGATGTGAGGAGATGATGCATGGAAATCTCCCCTGTACTTCCTGCAGTTGTTTTCTTTGGTCTCAAGGCCACCCAGCCCTCCGTGCTCCCACTGGGCAGCTCAGCACAGGGCTACACAGCCCTTGGGCTCCCAGTGGTTTTCTCCATTGGGAGAAATAACCCAGATTGCCTGATTGGTGTGGATTTATATTTTTTTTCAAAAACTTAAAGTCATTTTTCCTATAGGAATGAGCAAAAAAAAAAATCTCTTTGGTATGTCTTAAGTGAATCTGTCTGAGTCACAACTTGTTCTGCAATAAACCTACTTGTCTCCTCTCTTCAGTTTTATAGCTATTGTTAAAGAATACAGCCAGGATGGTTCTGTCAGGTGATATGAAGCTGTTGGAGAGCAAGAAGAGCACTTTATTTAAAGATAATAATTTAAAAAGTTTCCTCACGTGTTGTTTTCTTTTCAAATATAACTTGAAATACGCTTGCAACTATTGGGTTTGTTTTCTTTAAAGACAGGAAAGAATCATTTGAAAAAGTTAAGATTATTCCAGCTGCACCCAACCCAAAAAAAGGGGTTTATGGAGCAGCTGAACTCTTCTCACGTCCAGGTTCATTAGCTCGGGGTGATCTCTGAGCTCTTGCTGATGACATGCTAACTGACATGCTGCACAACAAGCTGATTTAGCTGTTATGCATTCCTTGCAACTTTCATTATCTTCAGAGCTGGGCATGCAGTGAACAAAGGCACGCAGGTAAAGACAGACCTTTTTGCTGGAGAAAATTCTTTAATCTGCTTTAGCATGTGAAAGCCCCCGCTGAGCACCTGGCACATCACAAGGATGTCAGTAATAACAGAACGCCTGCCTGCAGTAAATGGAGAATTAAACCCCTGCAATCCACTCGCTCTCCATGACACACGCCCCGGTATTTTGTAATTGCAGCGCAAATTGCTTTCCGAGGAGATCGTGTTCAGCTCTCAGCTCCTGCAGTGACACTCCTGAAGAGGTGAGGTCCTTTATACTTGTCATTAAAACCCAGCGATCTATACAAATCACCTCCCAACATGGCACTCACTCTTTTAATCTGAGGCAGATAACCGGCGCATCCCGAAGAAGCTTCAGCTTGCATCTGGGTGACAGATAAGAAATTTCATCGGACAGGTTTCCCTCGTGATAGACAGAAGTAATATCTCCGGCAGCAGGAGTGCTCAACCATGTAAGTCTCCATAAAGTTAACAGTTTGGGAGTGAACAGCTTTTTATGCAAGAGGAGATGTAAGGAAATACAGTTCTGCTCGCGCTCTGCCATTGAATTACCGTTCCAGGCACAGCAGAGGGCTGTTCCAAGGCTGACGCTTGAAAATGAACCTGGAAAAGTGCGTGTGAGCTGGAATTGTGTGGGGGATGGAGGAGGAGGCCCATTTGTTTCATAGGAAAAGTTCCACTCCAGAAAATTGTCCACTCGTATTTGATGAAGGAGAGGAAAGGAGCAGCTGCCATTATTCCCTGGAGAAGTTGCTCTGCAGAATCCCCTATTTTGAAAAACTGCAGATGAAAGTGGTTCTGGTTGGCCTTGGGTGGGTATTTGTAACTATCAGTGCCATTCTTCCCATGGTATGTGGCTATCTCCTGTTGGTCCAGAGGAAGGTGGGACTGTCACCTGGGAAATAAGATGGGTGTCACAACAAAGAGTGGAGAGCCCTCCCCTACATGTGGCACATTCCTGTCTGAGCAGGGATGTAGTGCAGGGAATGCTTGGCACTGAGCACTGAAACTTTAAAAGCAGATTCAAGGTTATAAGTCATGAACGTACAAGTCTGACACATTGCTGCTCCATTTGGAGCTAAAGCAATGTAAGACACTGTGAGGATGCACATCGTTCAGGGAGAACAAAGATAGCTGGGAAACAGCCTGTGGGATTTCAGCTTTCAGAAAATGTGAGGATGTCTGTGGATAGTGATAGGACAAGGGGGAATGGCTTTAAACTGGGACAGGGGAGGTTGAGGTTGGATATGAGGAGGAAGTTTTTCAGCCAGAGGGTGGTGAGGCACTGGCACAGGTTGCCCAAGGAGGCTGCGGATGCCCCATCCCTGCAGGCATTCAAGGCCAGGCTGGATGTGGCTCTGGGCAGCCTGGGCTGCTGGTTGGTGACCTGCACACAGCAGGGGGTTGGAACTGGATGAGCACTGTGCTCCTTTGCAACCCAGGCCATTCTAGGATTCTATAATTCCACCTCCTCCAGGAAGTGAAGTTATTTCTTGTTTTGTCCTGCAAACAAGAATCACTTTCAGTCCATATTGCCAGGAGAGGATTCAAAAAGGCCACAGAGACTGCAGATGGGAGCCCCACTGCCCAGGGCTGCACTGCTCTTTGTAGCTGGCAGTGAGGGGGAGGTGGGAACAGAGCAAACCTCTGCCATGGCATTGTAGCTCCTTAGTGAAAAAGAAAGCTTCTGCACAACCAGGGTGTTGCCTCGGGTGATCAGATTTTAACAAAGATGTGTTTGTTGTTAAAGAAGGGGAGGTTATTACAGTTATTTTCCTTATTAGTGCAATTTCTTTCAAACTTTTAATACTTAATCATACTTGGTTTTCAGGATTAGTGCTTGTTTCTACCTAATGAAGTAGAGCAAAACAGCAGAAACTCTGTTGAAAGTAATGATATTTGTTCTGTCCCTCTCCAACTACCAAATGACTGCACAATTAAATGCAAAATAGGCAGAAAGCAGAACCAATTGAGTTATAAAATGACATGCTCTTCCCTTTAGAAAGCAGAAGCTGATCTACCATGGGTAAGAAGTCTTGTTTTTCCTATTGCAGGCATGCAAGCCTGGTGGAGACCTGAGCACGGACAGTGCTAAGAAACGAGACAGGGCACAGGGTGCTGATGCTGGTTGCAAACATATACAAAACCGACTCTGCTCTGATGTCTGTGTGATGGTGAAGAGTTGAAATGTTGCACTTCAGTGATTCTCCAGACCACGCCTGTACTGGGGAATAAATTCAGGTGAGCACGATCTCGTTTACTGCTGAAATACTTGGCTGTACTGTAGAGCACCTAATGTCATTTTAACAAGGATATAACAAGTGACTGGGAGATGTTATTATAAGAGATGGGCTTTGTATGCTCAGAAATCCTCTCTGTACTGAGGAGCTTTGAGGGCAATCAACAGGTGTTGCTGGAAGTAGGGGAAGGTGACTCAAGGCAGGAGAGCCTTGTGCCCTGGGCAGGTGTGGGGCACAAGAGCAAACCCTGGCATAAAGCAGCATTAATCGGAGAGTGAGGAAAGGGCATGGAATGCTGGTTTCTTTGCCATTTATTCCATCTGGATCGCCACCTCAGTGGTGGCTTGCAGTCTGTAAGGTGGGGAGACCTCACTGTGGCCTTAAAATACTTGAAGAGAGCATATACACAGGAGGGGGAATGGCTGTTTATGAGGGTGGATAGCGATAGGATGAGGGGGAATGGTTTTAAAGTGAGAAAGGGGAGGGTTAGGTTGGATATTAGGAGGAAGTTTTTCAGCCAGAGGGTGGTGAGGCACTGGCACAGGTTGCCCAAGGAGGCTGTGGATGCCCCATCCCTGCAGGCATTCAAGGCCAGGCTGGATGTGGCTCTGGGCAGCCTGGGCTGCTGGTTGGTGACCTGCACACAGCAGGGGGTTGGAACTGGATGAGCGCTGTGCTCCTTTGCAACCCAGGCCATTCTATGATTCCATGTATCTCCAAAGTAATGTAAAGAAGTTTTGGTGAGGAAGCTGTGTTGCACCAGGGGTTACTCTTGCAGCATTGAAGCAAGCAAAGGCTCCACCTGAACAGCAGGCATCCAGTGCTGTGGTGTCTCAGTCAGATATGCCAGACGCTGCCAGCACCCTCCTCAGAGCAGGAGGTGCCAGACCTGGCTTCCACCACCTGCTTCAAGAAAAGGTGGTAGGAAAATACACCCAGCATTGTTTGCTCACAAAGAAAAGCAGAAATGAAGGGGCAGAGGATGTTGGGCTGCTGCTATGTGAGGCACGGTGCAGGCAGAGGGGCTGGGCTGCCCTGCAGGATGGTCCTTGGGACAAAAGGAGCTGAGCAAACAAAGCTAGCTCCAGTTTCTCACTTCCCTTCCCTGCTCCTTCTGAAGTGCTTTTCATCTCTCCCAACTCACCTTCCAGCACTGTTCCGGTGGAAGGAGAAAGGAGCAACAAAGAGAGGAACTCTCCTGCTGACAGCAGGCAGCTGGCATGAAGAAAATCCAACTCTCCCCTCCCAGACTCCCATGAAAAGAATAGAGGGCGATGCAGCCGCTGGAACGGAGCTCTGAAGTACTGCTGCAACGTGGAGGTAAAATAAAGGTGCTTCATTCATATTATCTGAGCAGAGGAGTTCTGAGGAGCAGTGCTTTGTTGGCTCTCTCTGCTTCTTTCCTGCACACCATTGCTTGGGCTTGTGGCAAATGGAGACGCTGAGACGCTGTGGTTTAAGGCGCAAACAAATAAAATATCGTTTCTCTATATAAATAAAATCATAGCAGTGAATTATTCATATTCTGTGCTAAAATATTTTTATGAATTCAAGGGATCTGAAACTATATAATATGTCTCTCTAAAGACATTTTAGAATATTTATGAAAACAATTCATAAAATTAAATCCCATTAGTTCTAGATTAGCACTTGACATTTGTCAGACTAATAACTTTTCTTAGCTAGAGGGGATACCCTGACTTTCAATCACACTTAATGGATTCTCTTCCTGATATCTATTTGGCAGTGTTGGGCTTACACTTACTCACATAAATGGCCCTGATCTGACAGGACTGTGCTTCTCTTTGGGATGCAGCTTTACTCTGTCCCCTTCTGCCAGTCACGTATATGCATGCATTCTGTTGGCACAGCCAGCAGAACCTCCTTTCAGATCTGTTGTGCTCTGTAGCTTAAACTAGAAAATTCACACATTGGAAACAGTTAATTCATTTATTCTTATGCCAGTGCTGACAAAGTTGTTTATATGGTTGTCTGCATGTTTGGAAGGAAGGTTGTCTTGGTTTGATTAATACATCATAAATGTTCATGAATCACGTCTGCTTGCTTGTCACATTCTACACCAGGGACAATTTTTATTGAGATTTCTTTAGCTACATCTCTTACTTCCATGGGAAAATGAAAATGAACAAAATTCAGGAAGCAACAAAACCAGATCAAAGAGGCTTGTCTTCTGCCTGGTTTGAATGCTGTAATGGAGCAAGTGTCACGCTTTGTACGTAGATGTGAACAACTTTGATGTCTGTGAATGTAAGATCAGTGCAATATATTGCTTCGAATTACACCAGAACAAAGTTGTCTCAGATAGCTGGAAATGAGAACTTGAGGAAGGTGTCTGTGCCACAGCCCTTCATACAGTGCTTCCATGCTGCAGGTGGACTGCACTGCCTGCGTGGTACCTCGGAACTGGCAAGCAACAGTCTGTAAGAAGGGGTACCTAAGGGATGAGCAGTGGGGCACCAAGGCCCATTATCACAAATTAGACTCTCTCTGTTTCACAGACCTCTCCAAATTTCATGCTGGCACCCTGGAGTACTGAGATCATGGGATCATAGAATGGCCTCGGTTGCAAAGGAGCACAGCGCTCACCCAGCTCCAACCCCTGCTGTGTGCAGGTCACCAACCAGCAGCCCAGGCTGCCCAGAGCCACATCCAGCCTGGCCTTGAATGCCTTGCAGGGATGGGGCATCCACAGCCTCCTTGGGCAACCTGTTCCAGTGCATCAGAGCTTTGCCTCTGCATACACTGCCCTGTAGGAGCACTTTGTTTTCTGGCTTACAGCCACCTCTGGCAGCCAGAACCAGGGCATTTTGCTGGCCAGGCCTGGAGCCAGCAGGATGATGCTTCCCCAGCCCTCTGCAAACCATCCACGCTGCTTCTTTAATCTCCGGGCCACCAATGCTTGAATGCTTTGCTACACCACAGTGCAACGTCAAGCAGAGCAGCTGAAAGCATCTTGTTGTGCCAACAGCCCGGTGGGCACAGGGCATTCCCAGGGAGAATGGACTCTGCTCGAGCACTTGGCTCACACTCCCTGCAGGTGGGAGGGAGCTGAGGTGAGTATAAAGTGTCTGATCTACAAAACACATAAGTTACGTTTAATTCAGGTCCTCACCATGGTAGAGATGCATTAAATATGAATGAATTTGCAGTGTTTAAATAAATAGGAAGCTTGTGTGGCATGAATTACCTTCAAAACAAAGCAATTCGCTGAACTTTTCTTCACCCTTTCCCATTGGTCTTGAAAAGCATTTGAATGTGAACCTTCAGATATTTCTGCCACCTGAATACTTTTATACAGGTACAGTGAGGAAGAAAACACCCAAAATGTCACAAGTAGAATTTGTGTGAATCCTGGCTAGCCTGGATGAGCTCTATGGGTGTGACATCGTGTCAGAGATCCCTGCTGCCAGGGCTCCTGATGGCCACTGCAACCATTTGGCACAGCATCAAGCATCAGTGCTAGAGATAGAGATGTTTATTTGTTACAGAGAACATAAAAGTCTTTCTCTGGAAGAATCAGAAAAGAAATAGTGTCTCATCTCCTACTTCTGTAGCGTCTTTGGGGTCAAGGCTTAGCTCAAAAGCTCTTTTGTTGAGTTTTCCCTGTGATTCTGGCAGCATTCTTCTCTTTTCTGTCTGCAGCTTCAAACCCAGCAGCTTGCACATGTGCTTCCTACTCATCCTTTGTTGTTTTTTTTTGTTGGTAAATTTATCTTTAGATGGGAATATGCCATCAGCTCCACTACCTTGCTCCACAGAGGGACGCAATGAAGGAAACCAACCAGTCTGGAGGTAAGGCAATGGTAATTCCAGTGAGCACAGAGTTCCTTAATAGGTTAGAAACAAACATGACAAAATGAAAAGGATGCATTGTAACGGAGAAATTAAAATGAAAAAAATCAGCTTTTACACAAAATAATCATTGTGTAGATCAGAAGAGTTAAATATATAGTGCACAGCACTACAAATCTACTCGCAGCGATAAAAGAAATTTAAAGGCTGTTAAAACCCATAGCTGTGATAAATGCTGTTTTTAAATGCAGAAAAATACAGGAATCATTGATAGTGTTTATTACCATTCCTGTAATAATCCTTTAAAGTTTTCAGCAGCTATGTCTTCTACTTTGGGATACTATTCTAGGAAACTGCCATTCCCTGAGGCAGGGAGGCACTGCAGTGGGGCCTCTTCAGAGGGAGGAGGGCATGAGTGGGGCTGAGGGCTCTGCTTACACATTCCCCTTCCTATTGTGGCGGTGTCCCATTGTCCTTGGGTCCCATGTGTCCTTATGTCCTTGTATCCTGGTGCCCCTCTGTCCCTATGTCCCCCTGTCCTGGTGCCCTGTGTCCTGATGTCTCTGTATCCTGGCATCCATGTCCTTGTGTCCCTGTGCTCTGGCTCTGCAGAATGTGAGGACAGTCTGTAGAGGAGCATGTAGGAGATGTCACAGCAACCCATTGCATTCCCTGGCTTCCCACTGGGCTGCACTCTGCTGGTGGGGAGCTCCTGTCTGCGTGCGCCTCTGGCTGTGTGATGGGGAACAGCTTTGGCTTCAGGAGCAAGTATGTCTTAATGAAGAGATGGGGTGAGAAGCCACACAGGAGCTGCCATTAAGAGCGAGGTTTGCTGCTCTCAGCACTGTCACAGTTATTGCCATCTCTGCCATATGCATTTCACTCCAAATCCTGACATCCGCGGGCAGCACTTCTCCAGGTGGGAGCTCTGCAGCACCACGGGGTCCCCATCTGGTGGCACTAAATTTGGAGTTGTGCAGCAAAATCAGAACAGGGTTAAGGTTAATGAATGCCTGCAGACAATGAGCTGCAGGGCCATGTGAGCTAATGAGAGCTTTTTTTGCATCTGAGGGATCCCGTGGTTGTTGTAAGGGATTGAGGAGGATGGAAGAGGGCATCCCCTGGAGGACACGTCCTACTGGCTTTAACCAGAGCTGTTAAAGGAGTTCTAAATGTGTTTATTGCTCAGCTACTCACTCTTGAGTGATTTAATGCTTTTGTGCAGATTCCTCATACTGCATAGGCACATTGTTCTGGTGCTAAACAGAACCAGCCACATCTCAGGAAAAGCATCACCTAGGAGCCATTGCAGCTAGATTGATAAATATTGCATGGCTGCTGAATGTTTAGTAGCTGTAATTAAAGCTAATAGGATGCTTGCAATTAGTAATAGGGAAAGGGGAATTGTAAAAAGCACAGCTACTCACATTATTTATTGCAGACATTTAGACCTTGCTCATCCTGAGACCCTTGTATTCAATAGATGTATACCAACTGGATATTTGGGCTTTAGCTGCAGCCTGCAAAAGATGTTCTTCATTTCTTTCTTTCTTTTTTTTCCCTTTAATGCATAGTCTATGGGCAAAAGAGGATTTTTACACTTCTTTTGGACTCTATATATGAACTTCTGGGTGCAGGCAGTAACTCTTCATGCTGTATTTTACCATAGCTGTCGTTTGGCAGGAAGATCAAATCCTTGCTAATTACTGCTACATCAAGAAAAGCATGTCTTTTTGGTTGTAATTTGATTGGGTTTCTTTTGTTTTGCTTTTTGTCTTTCATGCATTTAGCAAATGTAGTGCATTTCACTCATGGAAGAGACTTGTTTGCATGGAGGTGAGGTGTGTGGGGAAGCAGCTGGGGCTGTGCAGCAGTGCTGGCTGAGCTGGGGGCTGCTCAGCAGCTCTGTCAGGAGATAAATGGGACACAAGCAAAAGACAGAGGAGAGAGAGCATTGTGAATCGCTAAGAAATAGCCATTTGTTGCCTGAACTTGTCCAACAGCGTTTTGCAGCAGTCATCCTGGTGCTAATTCAGGGAGCAGCTCTCTGAGCAGAGCAGCTCTGGGGATGCCTGGTGTGGTTCACCTGGCAGCTTGCAACCCCAGTGGCTTCAGCAGCCTCTGCAAAGCTCTTGCAAGTTCTCCTCCCATGTGTGGGGCTGCTTTGCAGCATCACCTGTGCTGTGGCTGCTTTTATACTGGTACCATGTCCACCTACAAGCCAGATCCCAAGGCTTCAGCTAGACAGAAAAGCAAGAATGATATCCATTATTACCATTCTGAATTTTAATCTTCTCTAACAAGCATCACACTTCTACAGTAGGAATTGAGCTTTATGTATCAACATATTAAACATCAATTTAACACACCCATCTGTCACAGTGGTCCAGAAGGAGAAACAATTATATATGCAGGCAAAAGATCTTGTTATGCATTGGAAAGATGCCATAGCAAATAAAAGGATCATAGTACCATAGAATGGCCTGGGTTGAGAAGGACCACAATGCTCAAGTAGTTTCAACCCCCTGCTACGTGCAGGGTCACCAACCAGCAGACCAGGCTGCCCAGAGCCACATCCAGCCTGGCTTCTTAGTCTTGAGATCTTGGCTTCTGTAACCTGGGAGGCTCTCCTGCTTGTTAAGCAATGTGAGTTTTCTATCCATCCTTTTTTCTCATCCAGTGCACAAGTCTCAAGATTGTTTGGCAGAAAAACAACACTGGGTGCTGAGATTCGGTGTGGGATTGGTGACTTACAAGAATGAAAGCAGAGGAAGGAAACAGATTCACACAGTTACATCCTACTTTTCTTTAGAACAAAAATGGAATGCTTAGATCAGATTGAGTTTAGGCACAGCACAAAGATTCATTCCTTTCCTTACATTTCACTTTCATTCTGAGATTACCCAGAAAGTCACAGCTTTATTTCAGCAAAATTCAAATTAACACACCATGATACAAAGGTAGTGTTGAAAAAGTCATAAGGATGTTTCCAAAGAACTACTGTCCCCTGTTTTTGATGCATACGTTCTTCTGGTTTCCTATCTCAAACTCTTCTGATCAGCGAGGTCCCTTATACTTTCAGTGAGCACACATTCATATTGGTACAGGAGCTGCACATGGGTTATTCTTGTCAGCCTCGTGATGGCATGTTAGTTCATCACCATAGTTCTGTTTATTACTGGTACTTAACCTTGATCTCGATTAACACAGAAACCAATTTTACCTACCAGTGCTCTGACAAAGACTTCATGTTTGCCTTTATAAGATTTGCCTGATTTATAGGAGTTATTGGAGGAGGGGTTTGGCCTCTTCTCCCAGGCAACAAACAGGACCCAAGGAAATGGCCACAAGTTGAAGCAGAGGAGGTTTAGGTTAGACGTAAGGAAGAACTTTTTCTTTCAGAGAATGGTCAGGCACTGCAATGGCTGCTCAGATGGGAGGTGGAGTTGCCATCCCTGGCAGTGTTCAAGAGGCGTCTGGATGAGGAGCTACGAGATCTGGGCTAGTAGCTTAGTGGTAGCAATGGTGATGGAAGGGCAGTTGGACTCAATGATCTTGTAGGCCATTTCCAACCTCATGATTCTATGATTCTATCAATGACCAAATTGCATCACGACAGCTACTTAAGCCTATGTATTCCCTCCTTGCATTTGTGAAAAGCTAGGAAGTATCTTAATAGGGTTGCAAGGAACATTTCCAACGAGAGATATTTGTACCATGTGGAGAAAATCAATTGTTGAGGCAAAGCAGAAATGCCCTGGTGGGAAAGTCCTTGCTTGTTGCTGATTCGGCTGCTCAGTCCCAAATTCTCTTTGCCATCTCCCTGCAGGATGTGGAACCACTGGGGAACCTCTCCCAGCCTTCTTTCAACTGAAAAAAGTGGAGAAGGAGCACACAGTTCTGGTTATGGCTTTGGGCTGAGGGGGGACACTGTGGCTCTTGGCTGGCATGCACAATTAATTCCTTCCCAAAGAAAAGCATTCTGTGTTGAGAAATCCCCCGTTCAGACCCAACGTCTGGGAGCAATATTGTGAGTGTTGAATCACACATTGGTTTTGCTTCTCTTTATTTTTTTTTTCTGTAGCAATTAAGTTTCCATTAAATGGAAGAGGAAAATGCTATGTACAAAATTGAGATAGAACACAAAGTCAAGGGTAACATCAATTTGCGTACAGTCTTCCAGGAACTCTCAGAAATTGCCCATGTGCTATGGATATCCAGATTCTGTCTCATTTCTCTTAGTTCCTAGTAATGTGATGATGAGAAAAAATCATAATGTGGTTTTACAAGAGGCTTTTACAGGGCCGATTTGTTCAGCTGGGGGAAGGAAGCTTGCAAAACCTGGTAGACAATGTTTGTGAATATCTGATAATGGAGGCTGCTTTCTGGAGCAAACTCCTGGACGTGGTAATTATGTCATAGCTTGTAGTGCAGCTGTAGCTTCAAGTTTTGTCCCAAAGAATCACAGAACCATAGAACGGCCTGGGTTGCAAAGGAGCACAGCGCTCATCCAGCTCCAACCCCCTGCTGTGTGCAGGTCACCAACCAGCAGCCCAGGCTGCCCAGAGCCACATCCAGCCTGGCCTTGAATGCCTGCAGGGATGGGGCATCCACAGCCTCCTTGGGCAACCTGTGCCAGTGCCTCACCACCCTCTGGGTGAAAACTTCCTCCTAATATCCAACCTCAACCTCCCCTGTCTCAGTAAGTTGCTGAAGCAGAGGTGGCTCAGGAGCTGTTATGTGCACACATATGAGCTTGTACAAGCTCAGAAGAGGAGCAGAGTGTTTAAAATGTCTATAGGAAGGAAAGAAGGCTGGGCAAAGTCTTAGGAAGGGATCAAGCTACTTGCAGACAGGAATTGACTTTCAGTGAAGCATTGCAACTCATTTTTTAAATCGAGTCTTGAGTTTCTGTGTCACCTACACAGCTTCGAATGGGTCATCTGTGACTGCTATCACATTCTGCAGCATTTACAGCCTGGGTGGAGGAATTTACAAAGAAAATGAGATGCAGGCAAAATGAAAACGAAGGAAATGAACTGTACAGAAGTGTCAAGTGAATTGTTTCAGAAATTTCTTCCATTTCACTGTGCCTTATCTAAAAATTTGTATCAAATGGAACCTGTAAGTATTCATATTATCTCTACTTTCATCTGACATGAAGCAGATTAGCTAACGGTAGCAAATTTAGTATGCAGGAAAATGGATTTAAATAACAAAAGTACTCAAAAGCCATCACAGAAAACATGCTGAGCACCATTTTTACAATCTCTGCTCCAAACCTGACCATCAGATATGTTTAGAATTGGTCCCACAGAGCTCCCTGCTCGGTGATGGTGTAACCCGAGTGTGGGGTACAGATCTGCACAACTGCAGGCTGCTCTCTGCCAGGAGCTGCTTTCACCCACGCTATCACTGGTGGCTCTTGGTGCCTGCAGAAGCTCTGAGAGTCTTTGACTGATAGAGGGTATAATAGGGATTTTTAAAATGCAGTATGCAGGATTTGGGCCCTAACTCACAGATGTGCTGAAGCTGGGACCTCTGTTCCTCCCAGAATACCAAAACTGTATTTCAAAGGTGCAACTTGGCCATCGCTAAGCAAACATATTGCTCTCTTCTAATACCTGAAAGGTGATTGCAGGGAGAGTGGGGCTGGTCTCTTCTCACTGGTGACAGGTGACAGGATGAGGGGAAGTGGCCTCAAGTTGTGCCAGGGCAAATTTAGGTTGGATATCAGGAAAAACTTCTTTACAGAAAGGGTTGTTAAGCACTGGAATAGGCTGCCCAGGGAGGTGGTTGGGTCACCTTCCCTGGGTGTGTTTAAAAACCATTCGGATGTGGTGCTCAGGGCTGTGATTTAACGGTGGGTTTTTAGGGTAGTATGGTTAGGTTGTGGTTGGACTTGATGATCTTTAAGGTCTGTTCCAACCTGAGCAATTCTGTGATTCTGTATGCCATAAGAGGGAGGTGCAGCTTTCCTGGGCAAGTACCATAACTTCCTGCCCACCCCACATCCCACTCACATTTGCTCTGTGTTGGATTTATTCCTGTTTTCCAGTCCATGGCTGTCACTCTGTGCATTTTGCTACTCGGCACCGCAAGTTTCTCGCAGCAGAACAAGAGTGTATGTGAACACGTGGAGCAGTGATTTGCATTAATTACTCCCAAAGTGGCTGCTTTTCCTGCTGTGAGATGCACACAGATGCATTCTGCACTCCCAGCAATGCTGTGGCACTCTTTGAAGATCCCCCGCTTCCTGTGGCACTGTCAGATGTGTCATGTCAGAGGGGAACAGCCCTTCAGAAGCTGCTATGTTGGAAAGGCAAACAACATATGCTGGAAATGCAAACGTGGCGTTGGATTTATTACAAGAGCTGCTGATGAAAATTACATACAGAATCATAGAATGGCTTGGGTTGGAAGGGACCCCGAGGATCATCAAGTTCTAACCCCCCTGCTGCTGGCAGGGCTGCCAACCTCTAGATTTAGAGTGAATCCCTGTGTATCACGGGCTTGGTGATGTTTATGCATTGGTGGTGAAAATGTGATATCACCTTTTTTTTGTAGGGACTGAGAAGATGAAAGCTAACAAGTGACTGAAATGTCAATGTTGCTCTGTAGAACTTGTTGTTTCATTTGGATTTTGGAGGGAGAAGGAAAAGGTAATTAAATGTCATCTAAACAGAGGAGTGGAAAGCTTTAACAGGGAGAGCAGCATGGTTGCACTGAAAGTATTGTGTCCATGCCCTTGTGGAGAATGAGCTGCTTTTGCATAGATGCACCTCACTGTGGAGACTGTGACATGCTGGCTGCCAGCTGCTGGCCCTGTGAGGCTGCTGCATGAGGGCCATGACTTTGCACACCATGTTTGCACTGCTGCTTTATTTTGATGTGATTTTGGACTTCACTTACCAAAGAGGTAGAAATTGCAAAAACAAAATAAACCCCAGTATTTGGTATCATTTTGAAATTTCAAAGGATTAGAAGGGGGAAAATGCCAGTCGTATCGCTGTGATCCTTGCATAGTCATATGCTGAGCCTTAGGATCTCAAGGCTGTAGAAGCAAGGATGGCTATAAAGTCGATTTTCAGACAAGTTTTGCTGTTACTGCAAGCTGTGTTGTACGACAAATCCATCTGCATAAGGATTCCCCTCCTGGCTGCATATGGCAAGTCAAAAAACAAATTGAATAGGAGTGTAATCACCCACCCTACACCACATCCAGTTATGCTCTGAACACTCAAGCCCTGCAGGATTGGAGCTGAAGCTTTTGCTCTGCATTTCAGCACTCACTGCTCTAAAACAGCAGAGAGATGCACTGAGGGGTCCTGCAAAAAGCTTCTCCTCTGGAAGCAATCTGCTTTGATAGGAGATAATGACTGGTGAAATAGAATTAAATCATTTAGCTTTTGTTTGAATCAAAAAAGAGTCTGCATCTCCCTGCTTCTGCCTGAAAGTGCATGCAAACAGGTGGCAGCATCCTCTAATATGAAACTCAGTGTCAGTGCTCTGAAGCAAAGAGCTGCATAGTCCTCAAGCTGCTGCTTAACTGTTGTTAGTTAGGCTTAATCTAACTTCAGTTCAGTCCAAACATCAGTCACCAAGCAGTCCTGAGATGTCATCACAACCCCCCATCACCACAGAGCAACAGAAATAAATAACATGGAGAAATGTTCCTTGCTCACATTTTTTCCCCTAAGTAATACATAACTTAAAAAATTGATTTTTCTTTGAAGGGTAATAATTTCTGGGATATTACTGTGACACAAACAGGGTTGCTTTATTGCAGCTGAGAAAATCCAGAAGCTTATAGGGTATGTTTGATATATAGCATACATGGTATACAAAGGGTAGGTATATAGGACATGGACTTAGTGTAGGGTAATGCAGCCGGCTGTTGCTGCCTCTCATTAATAATTAGAGACATATTAACACTTTCCAATGGATGCTTTAATTGCTTCCTCCCTCAGGAAAACAAATTCTACAAACCTCAACCTGTTGTTTTCTTGATACCTTTAAGGACTTTTCAGTAATGTCAGCTGTGAATTATCATACATGCATGCCACACGTGAAAGTCAAACATATTACAGCCCAGCGTTATGAAGCCCTGTTGAGTATCTGCTGTGTTACTGTCGTTGTCACAGCTGCTTTTCCCTTGGGAACATTAAGCTGAGACTGGCTATAGCACTCCCTGAACGACAGAAATGAAGATAATGGCCTTGAAAATGGGATTTCAGTGTAATGAGCTGCAGTAAGAGTGATACAAGAGATACTTGAGTGCTTGCTGGTGGTCCAGGAGCACTGCTGAGCAGTGGCACCATGCGCTGAGCCAGCAGTGCAAGCAGTGTCTCTGCAGGAGGATGGCTGGAGAAGAGCTGGGTCAGAAATCAGCTTAGGTGCTGTAGAACCATGGAATGGTGCTGCTGCAAAACTGGTGACCTCAGCCTTCACACATCCCTGTGTGGAGCAAGATGTGCACGTGGAGAGCCCAGCTGCGGGGCTGCACAGACCTGCCCTGTGCTGGGAAAACGATTCTGCAGAGCCACGAGCAAGGGATGCTTCAGATGTGTGCAAAGGAGATGTGAGGAAGGCTTTGTGTAAATGCCCATGCTGTGCCCAACCCTGAGGGATGCCCCCTTCCCTCCCAGCTGCTGAGTTACACTCATCTAATTTCCTTGCTGAGTGTGTCCAGGACTGAATTTCACTCATGCAGCTCTCTGAGCAGAAGTGCTGCCTGTTTGGCTGTTAAGTGCAGCCTGGCAAATCTGGTCTCTGAGTAATTAACGGAGTTTTTGACAAGCTGTGCCAACAGGAAGGCTTTGTAGATTGGATGCAAGCACCTTAAGGTCAAATTCAC